ATATATATATATATATATATATATATATACTAACTAATTACATTATAAATATTGTTCATGAGAAATAACTTATTATAAATTTACATGATGTTATAGAAATATAAAATAAAATGGTTCAGTGGTTTCACTCTCTGTGCTTAGGGACTTCAAGTGCATGGTACTGGGTTCAAATCCTACATGGTCATATATTTTTTTATACATATAATTAAAAGAAAAGAAAAGGAACGTGGCAATAGATTTATGTATATATGCATCAGGTACGCTCTGATTGCAAAAATTGAATGCTTATATATCTATAAGCAACCAAACTTTGTAACGAATATGAAACTTGGTTAAGTATAATTAAATCACCATTCCATTCACCATTCCATTTTAACTAAAGTAATCATTACCGGGAATGCTATAAATAGGTTCACTTGGTAAAAATTGGAGATATCAAAACTTACGGCAAGAGAGAAACGTAAGAAAAGAGAGAAAAAAATAAGGAGAAAGAAAGAGAACAGAGAAGTAGGAGAAAGAAGTAAAGAAAGAGAGCAGAAAGGAAACACTTTTACACCGCTACTGTTTTCCTATAAACCTACATTTCGAGGTAAGGGGGAGGAGAACTTTATCTCTTTAATTTTTTTTATATATACTCCTATATTTATTTATTTATGTTATTTTTATCTAGTGAGGTGTCCCTAACCTCATTTATTTGTTTATTCTATGCTTATTGTTATTCATAATAATTATTAATATGTCCATATTTTATATTGTTTATTTATTCTGTAATAATTATCATTATTATTTAATTAATTGGTGCTCTTAATATATTTTAATTACGTATATGTTATTTAATTAAAGATTAAATAATGATAAATTCTCAAATTTATTTAGCGTTATTATTTTTAAATTGATTATAATATAATGTTGTTAAAATATATTTGACTCGTTTTAAAAAAATAAATATTGTTCTATGGCCATAGAAGATAAAGTTTGAATTATTTGTAGCTGGAGGTTTGACCTTGGGGATTTAAATGAGTAAGAAATCATGATTAAAAATTCTTGCGCTGATTGATATTATAATGCTCATTTATCCTGACTAGTCTCTACAATTGTAATTCAAATTTTACATATATTGTTTAATATTAACTATTGTTACGCATGCTTTATGATTATAAATATTTCTTTGAAAAATGTTCTTACTCCTTATGTTTATTGTTTTTGAAAATGTAAAAATTAAATAAATATAGATGGATGTGCCAGCGATACCTGCCCCTTTCCCTGCAGTCATATCTGCTGTTTTCTCTGGAACCACCTGGAGCGTCGATGCTCTCGCTAACTCTGTAACTTTCAACGGGGTCGCAGTGTCGTCGTTCACTTTTTCTCCATACCAGGAAGTTCCCACGGTGATAGATGGATCCATCGTTGTGACTTTTTACTTACCTCCAGCTAATCACGTGAACCCGATCGTAAATTTGTTCCAGCCACCCATGTAGTTAGTATAGAAGTAGAAAAATAAAAATATGATGTGTAAATAGGCTTACAATAATCTGTACTACATATATAGGAAAAAAAAACGCAACTACGCGTGTTTTTGTAAAATATTGTAATGGTAAGTACTTATGATATGATATAATGTATAGTATTATCATACATGTATTCTTTTATTTATTGATGTTAATATTAATACTATTAGGCATTACATTAGGGGCACCTCACTAGATAAAAATAACATAAATAAATAAACATAAAAGTTTATAAAATTAAAGAGATAAAGTTTTCATTCCCCTTACCTTACTAAAGATGTAAAATTGCTCTAAAGATTGATAAACCGAAACAGTGTGCCACAATTTTTTTCTCCTCACGTTTTTTTTTCTTAGTCTGTTCTTTCTCTTCTCTCTTTGATGCTCTCTCTCTTTCCCCGTTTCTGAATGTTCAATCTTCGCTGCTATTTATAGGCATCTCGTGCTCTTGGATATGATATCATTTGCTGATGTCATGTGATAATATCTTACCTATCATCAAATTGATTTATTACTGCAACTCTTATCTTCTCGACCAAATTGATTTATTACCCTTATCTTCTACGATTGATTTTACTGCAACACTTATCCACTGCGTCAAATTGACTGACTAAGCTTTCATTTAAATTGACTAACTAAGATATAACTAAGTTTCCTATCTTGTAACTAAGTTTCTTACGTTCACTAAGTTTCTTGCGGCAAATCCCATGATTCATTATTGCAACATCAAATCCCGTGGCTTTATATTTTGAAATTTACTGTAACTCATTACAGGATTAAGGATTTCTAGTCTTAACATATTTATTTATATAGATATATATAGCCGAAGCTAATATCAATCAGCACTCCGGTTTATATATATATATATAAAATTAATATAATTACTTGCAAACAGTTAAAAATTTTAACAATTATATATATATAATAATACGCATATATAAAAATAATAAAATTGGATAACAAGTATTTATATTATAAAGTAATAAAATATCCACCCTTATCTATTTTTAAATGTGATGAAAATAAAATTTAAAACCATTATTCTAAAAATAAAATAATAATAATAAAATTCAAAATATTCTGTTAGGATTTATTTAAAATCATTATTCTAGTAATAACAAGAAAATTTCATAATATTCTATTAGAGTTTAGGAATATTACAACCATGCCTTCCTAGCCGCAACCAACATGCAAGAAGTGTTCTTTCCAATGAGGGCATGGTTAGGGGCAATAATAATGGTAATCTTAGTTTCAATGTGAGGCGACTTTTCTTTGGAGGAAGATAACTTTAAGTACATAATATATGATTTTAAATCGTAGTGGGTTGGGTTGTATTATAAAAAATCGAGGAGGGTCAAGTCGTGTATACTTGTTGTACTAGTAGTTGTAAGGGTTACTTTAGGACATGATGGTTGATTTAGTTAGGTTTTTTTTTTTTTTTTGCGTTAAAATAATGTTTAGCAATGTCAATTTGGTACTTTTAGATTTATCATGTAATTTTAGTCTCTTAAAGTAATTTTGATCCCTTCATTTTTAATTTAGCAACTTCTTTAAAGTATTGTAATTGTGTGATTTTAGTATCTAAAATATTATAAGGCTTAAATATGTTTTTAATCTCTATAAAATAAATAATTTTGATTTTAATCATTGTAAAAAAATTTCTTTATTTTTTCGTCTTTCTAAAATTTATAAACATTATTTTTTTTCTTTGTAAAATGAGTAAATTTTGAACATAATCCCTATAAAATATTTTTCTTTTATTTTCATTTCTCTAAAATCTAAACTCATTATTTTTAGTCCCTAATAATCAATTTAAGGTAGATAAATAATATTAATTTTAAATACCTATAAAATTCTTTATAGATGTTAAATATTAATATGATATCAGTAATGGTTATAAATAACATAAGATGATTACTTCACTTTTTAATAAATAAAAGAGTAATTAAAAACGATCGCATAAAAAATAGGGACTAAAAATAATAGTTTCAATTTTATAGTGATGAAAAACAAAGAAAAAATTTTATAGAGACCAAACCAAAATTTGCTAATTTTATAGGGACTAAAAACATATTTAAGCCATATTACAATAATACACATTTTTACCTATTTAAATTACATATATTAGTAATTTTAATAAATATAATTTCTCTGTTCTCTATTATAAGAAAAAATAAATAAATAAATTTCACACATACTAAGAAGATTATTTATCTATATTAAATTTTACTAATTTCATAAATATTTTTCTTAATCCTTGTTATTATTGTCAAACAAAATAATTCAATTGAAAGGTCATGCATTAAAGAAGATGAGTATCTTAGAAAGAGTATTATCATTAAATGAAATAAAGGAAGTTGAAATTTGCTTATATTTAAGAATAAAAAAATTATTTTTCTTTGTTTATAATAGAAAACAAATGAAATATCATTTAATGCATAAATAAAAATTATAATGTATGTAACTTAAATGCATTAAAATTGTAAAATTACGATACTTGTATAACTAAAATTATACAATTGCAATACTTAAGAAATTAAAATTTGGGGAATCAAAATTTCATAATAAAGATACTTGAGGGACCAAAATTGCTCAATTAGAATTTAGACCAAAATCTCACATCTAATATTTATAGGATAAAAATGTAATTAAGCTTATATATAATTTAGCATAAGTTTTTAATTTCTTAAAAAAATTCAGGTAAATTCTAATTAATCATTTCATACTTTTAGCTTTTACTATTAAAGACATTAATTTATTGATGTCATGATGACAACATCAAGTGTCATTAGTAAAAATGGCATCATAATGATAACATCATTATATGTCACATCAATATAATTAATGTCATATCAATAATAATTCATCATCCAATGTTATCAAAATTAAAATGGTGATAGAATTCAACTCAGTCAAAGTATTGAGTTAATGGATCACTGGTTGAATCACTTGATCACTAGTTGAATTACATGAACAAATATTTTTAGAACTGTAAGTAGATCGAGTTTAGATGAATCTATTATCCGTTTCAATCAAAATTTAATAAGTCTAGTTGAATCAAATTTATGTATTTTTATTACGAAATTCAACTCAATTCAATTAAGAATAAATTAGATTAGATTTGGTTAATTAGGTCAATATAATTAAATTTATTTTTTCTAAAAATTTAAATATTTCAAAATAAACTTGAATCATTTGATATCTTACTAAAAATGCAATACTATCAACTCATAAAATAAACAATGATAAAAACTAATTAAATTTCATAATAAATTTGTTGGTTTATTAAATTTTAAAAACTTAAACAACTAACATTAATATAAAATAAATTTTAAAACAAACATATTGTATTACTACAATATTATCACTAGCTTGTATCATAATATTATCTTTTAGTATTGTTGAGCATCACTAACAATAAATTGTAGATGATAATCATGATCATCATCATCATAAAAAAATGCATAACCTATTATCTAACTCATGGTTTCAAATTTTTATTAGATCGGATCGAATATGACCTAAATTTTAAAAAAAATCCAAATCAAATTTATTAGGTTGATTTAGATCAATTTAAATTTACAAATTATCCATATCTACTTACACCATTGAGTATTATACATAAATTTTATATTAAAATATGGAAAAATAACTTTTTCCATTAGTATAACAATAATTTAACTTGGTGTAGGGATATGTTGTTCTCCAAATAACTTAAGGAATTGAGATTAATTCTTGTCGAGTGCAAGAGTACTATATTTTATTTTCTAAATTCCTTCTGTTTTAATTATTTCTTGTTCAGCTGAGTTACTAGTTGCCAGTTGCTATCATCAAAAATACAAATATACAAATTGTCCGATTATACTAAATATTACACAAGGGTCACTTTTGAAATGCACATTATATATTAAATAACATTATGATAAACACTTTTGAACTTTGGTCACTTCTAAAATGCACATATATATAAGATCACGGTATTTAATATAGGCCAACAATTTATATCCATGTATTATTTGATCAAAAAATACCAAAATATTTCCAGGGTATGTGAGCTAAAATACCTAAAAAGTGAGGAACACAATAAAAACCTCTTAAAAAAACGGTTTTATTTTATTTTTCATGCATGACTTGAAAGTCAAAACGCTCACCAATATTAATTTTCAGAGACGTAAGTTACAAAATTTACATACTAACGAAGCTTCAGGTTTTTTGAAGTCCACTGTAACACTGACTGAGGAAAAGTGAGAGGAAACAAGCCTAAGAAACCTTAAATTAATGTCTACAACAAACATATATTGATATTGCCTACTAAGACGTCTAGGATGCTTGGATCCCATATGTAGGATTATACATATTGAAGCAAGATAAGCCCCAGCTTTTGCCCTCCTGCACTTGCCTCTGGACTCTTTGTATGATGTGTTTAAAGGTAATACTCCATCTCTGTATCCATACCATCTTGCTAGTTGCGGCTCTTACATTTTTCCATGGCTCTTGGTGCTGCAAGAATCAGACTTAGGTAAGTTCACCAATAAATTTGGATCTACTAATGATTAACCTCAGTAAAAGAGCATGCTAAAATGTGAACGCTCATCAATATTGAAAGTATAAAACCTTCAAGAGATGATAGACATTTCCATCATTTTTAAGAAAAATATAGTAAGATGAAATAGTAGTTCAAGAAAGTGTACTCATATTGGAAGAAAGATTTGCAGCTAGAATCCATCAATTCCATGAATAGTTCAACAATACATTATGCAAGACCATAAGTATGGTTGGTATTTTTATCTTATCAGAATTAAAATTTTATTTCGATAACATACACAATAAAGAATTTTATTAGATGTTAAAGTATATTACCGATGTAAAACTTTAACTTTAATAGAAAAATAACACCAACAATATTGATATTAGATTAAATATGTTTTTAGTCCCTCCTATTTAAAGTAAATTTATTTTTAGTATCTTAAGTTTAAAACTATTATTTTTAGTTCCTATAATTTTCAAAAATCTTATTTTAATCCTTTAAGCTATCAATAATATATCTAAAACTAACAGATTGAAACAATTATACATCATCAACTAGGTTAATGTGATGTTTTCACTTACAAGGACATTACTAAGTAAATTTCATGCTACAGTATTTGACAAGCTCCCTAATAAAATTTGAGTATAAGAATTAAAATAAGATTTTTTAAAATTACAGGAACTAAAATAACTAATTTTAAATTTAAAAGACTAAAAGCATATTTAAGCATTAATAGTATTATATCTAAGTTTTTTGTCTATACTTTACACATAATATTAGATTTGTCTATTGATTTGTGCAAATTCACATATAATTAATTGGCTTCACACAATTGTTGGCTCTTTAGTTAAGTAATTCAGAGCAGGACAGCTAGTGGAATGCAATTGGGTTATACCATCAAGCAAGTATTCTGTCTTGAGATTTGAGTATAAGATGTTTGATGACTGAAGAGTTTTTCAATGCAACAAGATATAAAAGAAAGCACATTGTTGTATGTGTCAGCCTCACCTAGTCCAATTGCTTCAGAACTTTTCATTATCCTCAACCTCTTGCAAGAGTTAGTGAACATTCTAAAACAATAACAAGAAGAACAAATCAGAATTATATACTCATCAAATTGCCCTTTGTTGATTCTGATATTTGAGAATATCATAGTTTAACAAATTGGCAGCAGAGTTGTACTTTTCAATAAATTACTAAACACCAAATCAGAAATCAAATTAGAAGATCCACAACATAATATGCACTCACTCCCATGGAACATCACCAACTAGCATCCAATCACCATCCTTGTCTTCATAGGTGAGCACATATTCTGAACCATGAAGGAGATCCATCAATCTACTTTCACTCAACTTATCTCGACCACAAACTCCATGAGAACCACATTGACCTGCACATTGAAAAAAACATAATCAGAATCTGTAACATAAAGAACATTTTGTTGGTAAAGAATTAGTTGACCTATTCATAGCACTCCAAATTCCCCAGCTCATGGAACCAACCAGCCTGAGCCTGTGACATTTGAAGACTTAGGATCCTGATTTAATCATCCACATAGATCTAAAAGGATGCCAGTTCTGATCAGGATAAGTTCTTTATATTTCTCTCATCAAAATCAAATGAAGAGAATAATTGGTATAACCAAAGAATATTATTGAAAGCTATGAACAAGTCAGAGAGTCAGAACTAACAAGTAAAAATTTGATTACAATTTGCTAGTAAAGGAAAACAAAACTCACTGATTGTAAAACAACTAAACATCTTTTCCAGTGCTGAAGACAGTTCCATGTAATTGCAAAAGTTTTTGAGGTCCACTTTCCTCAAGTATGGAGCACCATCCATGCTAACTTTCACATAAAGGCATCCAGACTTGGCTTCTGCATCATCATCATTCTTTTGTGGCTGAGTGGCCATTGAGTTCTTCCTGAAAGAACGGATTGGCGGCCATCCCACAACTTGCTCCCTGATTCACAAAACACAAAATTACACTAAAAATAAGGGTGTGTACAAGGAGCCACAATTGAAATAACCATCTATGCATAGATCAGTGATTATATCTTCAAAACAAAACGAATTCTTATTCAAATACTAAGGTGTACAAGGGAAATACAAAATAGCAAAAGAACACAAGCAGGCAGATAGAAAAAAGTTTCACCATGAAAATCGAATTTTAGTTATATAGAACACTGAACAATCTGGAGAGTTCAATCCAAAATCATACACAAAAACAAACAACACATAACCAAGATGAGAAGAAAATTTACAGAAACACCAAGCCAACCGTTAGATGATGCCTAGCAAAAAAATACCGTTAGATGATGATTAAGATAGAAAGAATGTCCCCTAAATCACATAGACAAGAGTTAACATCTTCCCAAACACCAGAGGCTAACATGAGAACACAATTAGCAACAAGAAGAGTTAAAGAACTCAAATCCTCATGTTGATAGATTTTATTCTCCCTTCTTCTCAATTTCAATTTCAACCAAATGTTTTTTCATGGAAGTCACACATAAAAACTCCTCCTTGTATCTGAATTATCCCATTTTCTTGCTGCTTCCAACATTTTATTTTATTAACATACACACATAAGTGAGAAATCTATAAACAGGACAGAACATCAACAACAAAAAGTGGAAAAATATTTTGACAAATAAAAACATATATGGAAGTGTGCTGAGGCTAAAGAAAGGTGATGCTACCTTGCAGCAGGAGCAGATATCTGAGGCTTCTTCTCATTCAATGGCTTTGGAGACTGAGGAACTTTATCTTTCACAACAGAAGTTTGTTGGTTGGAACACTCAGCCTTGGCAGCACTAACACCAGTTCCAGCACCCCTTGGAGAGAACAAGACAGTATCTTTACCCAACCCCACCTCAGATCCACCACTCCCAGAGAGAAGCCACTTCCCAGGACCCCCATCAATGGTGTCTGAGAAACCCCTCTTGGCCCCAGACACCAAACTCTTGACCATGCCTAAAGGGTGCAAATTTTTGTCTTCCAAACCCTCATCTCTCTCTGGTGACTCAGAACCTGGCAAGCCAAGCCTCAGCTCAGTAGCCTTGAGGTTCAAGCCACCACTAGTCCTCTTAGAAAACTTGTCACAATCTTTCATTGCAGGAACCTCTGATAAGCCTACATAATCTTGCTCCAATGGCACAGACATCAAACTTCAGCTCACAATACTTCTACAGTTTCACTTATTCTCAGAAATGGAAAAGAATGGAGAGAGGGGGAAACAGAAATTGAGGATGAAGAATCAGAATTTAACTTGAGAGTGGGAAATAAAAATATAAAAAATTGATTTTTTAAGTTTTGACATGTAAAAAAAAAAATTATAATCTAATTCAATCTTACATACTTATAATGTTGAAGTGAGATTTTCATCACATTTTTTTCACGGCGAAAACAAATTATCTCAGCCATTTAATAATTATTAGAATGAATTGTGATATTATTTAAAAATAAATAAATTAATGTCTAATTAAAATTTATAAGATGAAAATTCTTCCTACTAAAATATATTATTTTCACTTTATTATTAGCAGATATTGAATGTAAAAAAAATATTTTAAAAAAACTTTTACGAGGTTTATGTGTTCAGTTTGTTTCTGTATAACCTGGTAAATAAATCGGCTAAACGACCATTGTGGTGCACTTTTAGAAACAATATATCAAAATGGGGCTGTTTTCAAACATTTTACATTTTTGGGGCTGTTTTATTGGGTGTCGCTATGGCCCATAGCGACACCAATGACACGTGGCTTTTTTTTTTTTTGGCTTGGTTGGGCTGGATCAGTGTCGCTATAGGCTGGCTCACCACAGCTGACGGGCTTAAAAAAATTATGTAGCCCATAGCGACACTAAGTAAAGAAAAAATAAAAAAATAACGAAAATAATAATAATGTAAAATAAACATAATAAACTGATCTATTTATTATATAATTATAAAAAGAAAATTAAGTTTTATAAAAAAGTAATTTTAAAATAAATAATATGTATTTTTTTAAAACTGGCGCTATGGGCCATAGCGCCGGAGTGGAGCTATGGGCCATAGCGCCCCAATTTTTATTTTTATTTTTTGTTTTTAAATTATTTTTTACATTATATTACTTATATTTTTAAATTTACAATTTTTTCTTATTCCAATCCTTTTTTACTCTTTTATCCCTTATTTTTTTATAAATTTCTAAACAAATATTATATTTTAAAAATATTAGATATATTTTTTAAACTGGCGCGGAGTGGAGCTATGGGTCATAGCGCCCCAATTTTTATTTTTATTTTTTTGTTTTTAAATTATTTTTTACATTATATTACTTATATTTTTAAATTTACAATTTTTTCTTATTTCAATCCTTTTTTACCCTTTTATCCGTTATTTTTTCATAAATTTCTAAACAAATATTATATTTAAAAAATATTAGATATATTTTTTAAACTGGCGCTTTGGGCCATAGCACCCCTTAGTGCCACGTGTCAGCGTGTCATTGGTCACGCCTGCGGTGAAACTGACACGTGGCACCCAGTAGATGGTGAATTTCTGAGGCGCCATGGGAGGCACTATGGGCCATAGCGCCCCAGTTTTATATTTATTTTTTTCGTTTTTAATTTTATTTCACAATATATTACCTCATTTTTAAAATTTAATTTTTTAAAAATTTCAATTATTTTTTGCTTTTTTATCAGACATTTTTATAAAAATTATTTATCATATTTTATATTTATAAAATATTAAATATAGTTTTACACAGGTGCTAGGTGCTATGGGTCATCGCGCCTCACAGGCGCTATGGGCCATAGCGCCCCAGTTTTATATATATATATTTTTTTCGTTTTTAATTTTATTTCACAATATATTACCTCATTTTTAAAATTTAATTTTTTAAAAATTTCAATTCTTTTTTACTTTTTTATCAGACATTTTTATAAAAATTATTTATCATATTTTATATTTATAAAATATTAAATACAGTTTTACACAGGCGCTATGGGCCATAGCGCCTCACTTCCGCTATGGGCCATAGCGCCCCAGTTTTTTAATTTAATTATTATTTTATACTTTAATTATTATTTGTTAACAAAATTTATTTTTTGTTTTTCTTATATTACGTTATCTTTATTCCTTTTTTCTTCACATAATCTTTTGTATTTTTAAATTTATAATAATATATTTCTTATATTATTTATATAAGTGTGTTGTTGTAGGCTATAGCGACCTCATTTTTAGCCGAATTGAGTCGCTATAGCCTATAGCGACTCCTTGAAGGTCTCCACCAGCTACAGCAACTCTACTAATATGGCGTTCATGACTTGTATTCAGACCCAAAATTACCACGTGTCACGGGTGTCGCTATGACCCATAGCGACACCCTATAAAACAGCCCCAAAGATGTAAAATGCTTCAAAACAACCCCAGTTTAATATATAGTTTATAAAACTACTCTACTGCCAAATAAATCTCTATGCATTCTGTTAAACATGTAGTAATGGAGTTGTGTGTAGTGTAACAAAATAAAAAATAATAAATTGGGAATATTGGTGTGAGATTGTGAATACATTACTATGCAAAAGAGAATATGGAACTGTTTGGCTGTTTTCTTTATTCTTTAAATTAAAATTCCTTTGAAGAATGTGCTTTTTCAGGTTTTATAAATCGTGTGAATCTTTTTGTGGGAGACCACTCCGACAAACCCCAGAAAGTCTCTGCCATACTTTACCGTTTCATTATTTTTTTTTGGGGGAATTAATTTCATTGTCATTCATAACTTTTATAAAAAATTAAATATTCCGTGTTTTAGGTTTGGATAATTTATTTAAGTGTAACAGTTTAAATTAGTGTTACAGTATCATAAAATTATCATGAAAGAATGAGTGATAAATAAATTATAGTTTTATATTCAAAATATAAAACATTATTTTAAGATTTTGTAATATATAAAGCTTAGTTACATGAATTGATATAAGATGGAATGATTCACATGATTAACTTTTTATTAACTCTTTTATTACAATAATTTTGAAATGATCCTGTTATTGATAAATTGGTTTTTAATTATTTTATTATTATTTTAGTATTATCTTAAAATTTATCATTTGAAAATTAATAACTTTATATGTTTACTATTGTTGAAGTTTTAAATTATAATGCATATAAAATAGAAAAGAGTGTGTATAATGTCTAACAAATAGAAGATATTTTGTGTAATTATTCAGAATTTATCACGAGCCTATTTTTTAATTTTATTTAAAATAATAAGTTGAAAATAAGTGTATTGTATTTATAAAATAATAGAAATGTGTTTCCATAGGCAAGAAATGACAGAGAAAATGATGGGACGAACAGTGTCTTTGAAAAAGTAAAATTTCCATGTGGTTCAGGAAATTATTAACCATAAAGAAAAAGAAAATTTGATAAAGATTGCTGGATATTTTCTTGGCTTATACGATGCTTTGAGGATTATTTTTTCTGTGGTGAAAAGGAAGTGACTGGTAATTTGTGTTTGTGCTTCATGCTTTTCGCATATCCTTTTGCTGTCTGCACTTTATTTATTTTCATCCTTAAATAACATGTTTATGGAGCATTGAGTTCGTCATGTTTAAACATAATTTTCTTAGTATTGTTAAGTTTAGGAAAGAAAGAGACATGAAAGAAAATTAGTAGAAAATAAGATATATGGATTTTGCATGTTGTTTGATAGAAATAAAACCAACGTAAAGAAAATTAAAAATTTTATTTTCTTTATTAATAATCTGAGTAATACATTTTTTAACACATTATTATTTATTATTAACTAAAAATTATAAGTTTCAATAATTTTTATTTATCATTTAATAGCTATTTATATCAATTTTAAATTTTTAACTAAATATTCTACCTAGTAATAAAATAAAATAAAAAAGAGTATATTAGAAAATATGTTACTAAAATTCTTTAAAAATATCTTATTAATGACATTATAGTCTTTCATTATATAAAACAACTTCCCCAACTCATTGTTTATAATTTGAATGGTAAGAAGAAGAAAAAAACATGAACCCTACTTCATTTTTTATTATTACTTTTTATGTAATGAAGAACTAAACATATCTAAATATTTTTTTCTATCTTTTCTTTCTTTCCTTCCACATTTACTGGTTTCAAATGAAATAATATTTTTCTACCAAAAAAAATGAAATAATATTTATTAGCAGATTTAATTTCTCTAAAACGAGAAAATTATAATTTAAAAAATAAAATATAATAATAAGTATTAATTAAAAAATTAAATATTAATATTATAATTAATTTAAAATTTTATTTTACCAAAAAAATTAATTTTATCAAATTTTAATAATTAATTTTATAATTAATAATTATGAGTACAAGTACACCTCCTTAGATGAGGCAAAATCATTTTTAATTTTTTTAATTTCTTAACTATTTTCTTTGAAACAACCATTATATATATATATATTATTTCTTTGGAGATCTTTCAAAACAATTTTTTTTACACCTTCAAAACAAATTTTTATAATAGAGCGTATCCTTTGTTTTCAGTTGTATTTTGTCAACCACCTTTTACTTCTATTTTTTCCTATAATCTTAAAACATGATCGTTCCTGTAACTATCTATTTAAGTGAGAAACAATTTACGACCAACTAATTTGACAAAAAGTGGTGGATTAAGTTAAATATTTTTAATAAAAAATAAAAATATTTTGGAAATAGACTTTGAAAAAATAATTACATTTATATATATTTAGATATAAATTTTTAAAAATACAAAAGGTGACTTTTAAGTTATAAAATTCTGAAAAAATATATATAAATATTAATATAAAATATTTTTTTAAAAGAGTCTAGCAAAAACTTTGTTCGCATATGACTTGCGTCGACCTACCAAGTCGGGACATATTTTGGAAATAGGTCTCTTAGTCCACCTAATTTTTATTTATTATATATATTCAATGTTAAGTATAACTAAGATGAATGTATAATTGTAATTTATTGTGCAATAAATTTGTTATATATTTAATTTATATTATTATAAGAAATTAGAAATTTATTGTATAATAAATTTGTTGAAAGAACTATTATAACTATATATTTATTTTATTATGCAATTTTATTATTTAAGTGTATTAATTTATGTAGATTTTTTAGATATTATGAAAGAAATATATTAGATGAGATATCCAAAATAAATATACAAATTTTTTTAAAAATATTTTTGATAGACTAACTTATTGGTAGGGATGAAAATAGGTCAAGTTATGTCAA